GTTTTCAGCGTTATTTTGTTATCGTTTTTATCGTTTACTCGGTTTTCCTGGGTCTTTTCACGTGTGTTATGAATCTTCTTTTTTTCGGTACTAGTTTTATTTTGTTGTATTTATCCGCGACACCTTAAAGGCCGGTCCATAAAAATATTGTCGGGCATAAACCGGTCCATGGCGCAAAAAAGGTTGGAGACCGCTGCTCTAGGATCATCAGTGGATGAACATGCTAAATTTCTAAATACACTTTACTTATCTCAGTGTGGACTGACCTGAATACATGACATGATTTTTGCTGAAGCAAAAAGAAGTTTGGTAAAGTTGTGAAACAAGACTTTGATCAAATGTTTCTGGCACACTGTCAGGGAACTCAGTCCTTACTGGCACTTCTATTTTAATTGTGTTGTTTATTGTTGTGTATTATTTGAACTGAACTTGCGCTATAAAAGCAATTCCAACAAGTATCTTCAAATAAACCACAAAAAGAACAAAAGACACACCTCTGGCCTCACAGTCCCTGAAGGACACAGATCCTTCATACTTGGTCATGAGGCCTCCTCCACAGGGGAAGCACAGGACACGGCCTGGTTCTGGCTGGTAGAAGCCCAGTGCGCAGGGCTGGCATGGGCGGAAACCATCATCAGAAAAGTGACCGACTGGACACTGACCTGAGGGGATGATAGAGAGAAACATTTAATTTCTTCTTTCTACAACATTAACATTAATATCCAGATTTCCTGACATTATAAAATGGAAACAATCTCAGTATTAGTGAGGAAAAAATGGGAATTACCTCCACACTGGGACACATTCTTGGCACCAGCGATTCCCTGTCCTTCAGTACTGGGACATGGCTCACAGGAAAGTTGTCCCACCGTGTCCTGGTATGTCCCAGGGGGACACTGGACACACTGCTCTTGCTCCCCACTATAAAATGTCCCCACACCACAGCTCACTGAGAAGAAATACACAAGTTAGCTCGATAGATCCTGAGGAAACAGTAACACCCAGTCAACTCTTTCAGCTGGAAACATACCACACTTTCCATCTCTGAGGACTTGTCCTGTGCTGCAGGCCTCAGCACCCTCTGCCGCCTTAGGTGGCTTCTGGGCCACTTCATATTCGGTCCCAGAGAACTGGATGTAGAACTGCTGTTTGGTGATGGACTTTCTGAGTGTCCTCATGGCACTCTGCAGCCTCTGCTTCATTCTCTCTCGCACACAGTCCACGTTACACGACTCTGAGCAAACAACATTCAGACCACATTTGTCCATTTTTAATGTCCGGGTATAAATTTCGATCATAAATATTTGATTTCTCTGTAGATTTAATGTTTCTGTGTCGATTATATTCAAAGCAGAGTTAAGAAGGATCACCACACCTGAGGCATCTTCCTCCTTCATCTCCATCTCAAACTCAGCGGTAATGTGTGAAACCTCCTTTGAAGGAGATTTGCGTCCTCGCCGGCGCTTCTTAGATGAGTCACACTTGAGGTTGACAAAAGTTACCTGGCAGTCGTCGGTGCAGGGGAACTGGCCTCCTTTCAGGCAACCAAACAACAGTGAAGAAGATCAAATTTAGCCTGGGCTATAAACGCCAGTATAATATCAGTGCCAGATGCTGCTGATTAAATATGACGGTTCGTCACCTTGGATGTTCTGCTTGGATACGTCTCGGTGTTTCTCCTTGTTGCGGGGCTTCAGGTGACACTTGGCATCTTTGATCTTAAACCTGGCCTTCTGCTTGATGGGTGGTGCCAATGTGTCTATTCATACAGAACAACATAAGCTGTTAACTCAAGATCACTTTACAAATGAACTCTTTATTTGATCATTTATAGGACGCTGCAGCCATCACATAACTGCTCATTTGCTATTTGTTGCACATTTGTTGTGTGTATATGTGTATGTTTTTGGTCTCGTTAAGTGTGTGAACAAACTCAGAGTGAAAAAGAGGCAAGTGAAGAAGAACTTGCTCAGTGCATCATGGGAAGCCCCCAGCAGTTTACTGCAGCACATAATTAGAGCTATTTCGTTATATTTGGTAACTCATAACATATTCTGTTATTTCATTTTGTTACTCTCTGCCTCCCGCTCTACTTTTGGAAACTTTAGTCACCAGTAAACCTGCAGAGTAAACTCCTCTGTTAGTATAATACACTGAGATATGACAGGACCTGATCATTCAAGATTTTAAGCTAAATTCCAAATTCAACAGGAAGATAAAAATATAACAGAAATGTGGTCTCAGGCCCAGTTAGTAATCTTGCATGTAGTTGTAAATTATGCTTATTTATGTATGGATTATTATGTATTTATGGATGGATGTTGTATTTTCAGTACAAATGTACCAGCTACTGCCTCCTAACTACCTGCAATTAAGATAAGTGCTAAAATAATAAATGCTCACAAAGCGGGAACTCCAGCAACACTTGAGGGAAGATGAACAACTTTAATAATTGACCAACGTGTTTCAGCTTGTGGTCACCTGATGAAGGCCACATCAGGGTCACCATCAGGGTCACCTGATGAAGGCCACATCAGGTGACCCTGATGAAGGCCACAAGCTTCATCAGGGTCACCTGATGTGGCCTTCATCAGGGTCACCTGATGTGGCCTTCATCAGGTGACCCTGATGGTGACCCTGATGGTGACCCTGATGTGGCCTTCAACAGGTGACCACTAGCTGAAACACGTTGGTCGATTATTAAAGTTGTTCATCTTCCCTCAAGTGTTGCTGGAGTTCCTGCTTTGTGAATTCTTTCATCCTCTCCATGCACCTTGGAAGCAGGTGAAGTTGTGCCAGAAAATTTTTGCTGAAAATAATAAATGCTACCAGAACTTAATGAGTAATTTGTGTAAAAACAGTTTCTCAAGTGGAGACGAAGCAAATCAAAAATAATATTTTGTAGAGTCAGTACATGTGCAGGGACTATAGAAGTCCCATCACTGATCTGCACCTACTGTGTCCCATTATGTTTACTGTACCGGCACAGGCGGGTACAGCCGTGGTGACGTTCCTCTTCTGAGGAGGTTTACCAGGCTGGACGGGCACGCCGCAGCTCAGTGTGTAGCTGTTCTCTGAGTCTGTGAGAAACAACAACGCAGAACATGTGACCAAAGAAAACCAAAACCTGATGATGAGAACAGGTTAGGACTCCCGTTGTATGTTTCATAGGATGGCCAAAGGCACATTTGTCAACATTATTAAGTCAAGTTTTGTAGATGTTTAGTGGTATAAACAAAAATGTGACCTTAAACTTTGATTGTGAAATGAAGACCCAGATGAAAGATCTATGAGCCATGCTTTTCTCTGTTAATACACGTAGAGACAAAGATGCATTTGGACGGAGAAGTGAGGGATTAAAAAAGAGCCCGGGCTCCTTTCAGCCACAGGAATTTACATGGCTCATTCCTCCTTAAATTAAGATGTACTCATAAAAGACACAAAAACAAATATTTCACTTCATGCCTGAGAGCGATCCATCATTCTCACACAATAGCTGCCAAGTAAAACGAAGCGACAGCCATGCTGTGGAAAAATTGGCATGATCGAAGAATGCAATCGATTTACAGATGTGTGTTAAGTACTATTGCAGGAGGAGAGGCTGGGGTGCCAGCAAAGAGGAAGGATGGGTGAAGCCAGCAAAACCTCTCTGAGTGAAAAACACATCAGTCTGAGCACAGAGGCCCCTAAAGAATCCACAAATATGGCACTAAAGAGCACAAGCTTCATCAAGAGGGGAATGGCACAGACAGACCACCAGAGGGCAGCAACACATGCTGCACCAGAGCAGCACAAAGGACTGTTTCCAACATGCAGCACAGGTCCCTGTGCGTCTGCCTCAAGATCATTCAGAGAGAAAACTACAGAGAATAAAAAACCATCGATGACAATCACCATGTTAATGTAGAGTTTTTACTGTTGTGCTATATAAATAAAACTGTTAATTAATCTTTAGTTTTTAGGATTAGTTATAGATTAGATTAACAATTAATCATTTTGAAGCTACAAATGAAGCTGACAGCAGGTTAACAATTGCTCTCTCCTTCCTGTCTGACTTTCTGCAGACTTGTTTGTGATCCTTCCTGTTTTTAATACATATTCAGCGCAAGTTTGCTTTGGGTTTTCTTCATTTTTTCAATCAGTTTCTTTACAGATTTACAGATTCCAATTACAAATTCATTTGCACCAAACAACCATTTAATGGACTGAAAAAAATGCATGAATATAAGTTGTGTCAGCATTAAACATTTGCGGTCGACAGATGAAAAGGAAAACCCAAAAAGCCAAGCTCCTACATAGGGATGGGTACCGGTATCCGGTGCCATGATGGCACCGGTTCTGTCATAAACGGTAGTAACCAGACCGAAAAGCAGCACATTTCGGTGCTTTATTTTTCCTGAGCTGTGATACACTTTGAATTCCAGCCAATCATTTTACGTTTCCGAGGATAGTAGGCGGGTCCAGGTACGTACGTTCTTTTAGAGCAGAGCTACAGATTAAAAACGCCCAAGGCGAAGTGGTCAAAGTCTGGCTGTACTTCACAGCAAAAGATGCAAACTCAGCAGCTGCAACAAGTGCTTTAAGCTGATA